TCGAAATATTTTGGATGTCTATTTTTTTTTCATCCTTGGCTGTACAATCTAACTACTGTCCATTCTTTTCAGTTACATTATGATTAACCTGGAGGCTTACCTTAAATTAAAAATTTCAAACTTGTTTAATTTTTTCAAAGTTAATTTTTCAGTTTGTGATCCAGGTTTTTCCATTTTTTATTTTTCCTACGGATCTATTCTCATTATTAGTATTACCTCCAGCAGAGGGCAGACAAAAGATAGGTAAAGATAATAAAGTTAGTAACTTACGGGCTTCCAGAGAAGCGTGATAGGTAAAGATAATAAAGTTAGTAACTTATGGGCTTCCAGAGAAGCGTTAGTAGCTTCACCAAAAGACCTTAAATAGCATTAATGCTGTATGATCTCTGGACACTGTCTTGCCTGATTGAAATAACTTTGGCTAAAATGTAGCAATGAGTTGGCAAATATAAATTCAAGCATTCATTCAACAATTCTGAGTCTCAGCCACATACCAGGCATATTTTAGGCTCTAGGATTCAGTAGTAAACAAAATAAACAAAAGTTTCAATTGTTGCAGCACTTTCTTCAGTATCAGTTTGGGAGATAGTGAAGCACATAAACAAATTGCATGTTTTTAAATACAGATAGGAAGTATACAGGGAATACAGGGAAAATTATCAGAAGTTGGTGGGCATGGAGGTGTAGCCTGAAATTCCAGCAACTCACAAGGCTGAGACAGGAGGATCCCAAACAACTTGGCAAAGCCCTCTGCAACTTAGTGAGACCCTAAGACCCTGTCTCAAAATAAAAAATGAAAAGGGTTGCGGATGTGGCTCAGTGGTAAAGCACCCCGGGGTTCAATCCCCAGTACTTAAAAAAAATAATTACAACAACTTGGAGGGTGACTAGAAAGTTCATTTTTAAATTAATTAATCTAAGTAAAGCTGAATGGAGTGAGGAAATGAGTTATGCCTTAAAAGAGGAAAGCTTATCAGGCAGAAACAAAAGTAAATGCAAAGGTCCTAAGGCAGAAACTAACTTGCAGGAAGATAACGATGTAGAGGCATAGCAATTCTGAAACTGTTCTGTGTGTCTGGTAGAACTGAAGAAATGAATAAATTCATTATATTTGGGAGCTAGAGTTTTCACTCTGGGAGAAGAGAACTAAAATGTGGAATGGAAGAAGGCACTAAAGAACACTCTGTTGTTGGATAGGATTCATGGCATCAACGTGAACTCAGGATTAAAATATATATACATATGTGCTGCTGCAGATGTGCATGATGTTTCCTTGCTCTGTCTGGTGAAAGGGCCTAGGAGTAATGATGCCTAGAGTAGCAGCTAACACAGCTAACGTCCCTATCAAAAAGGCTGTTCCCAGAGCTGCAACAGGGGAATATAAGCCTTGAACATTTTGTGCCACAAAGTAAGATAGTTTTTTATTTTTATTTTTTTAAGTTGGTCATGTCAGAAGGAAATAGGTGTCTATCATGGTGGCACCTGCATGTAGTCCCAGCTACTCTGGAGGCTGAGTAGGGAGGATTGCTTAAGGCCTGGAGTCCAAGACCAGCCTGGGTAACATAGCGAGACCCTGTCGCAAAACAGCAACAAAAGAATATAGGAATTAATTCAAAGGAGCTCCCAGTGGCCAAATCTGGGGAAATTTGAACATCAAAATGAATAATGATGGTAATATATTATAACCCACTGAATAACATGAGAATCCATTCCACATTTTTAGTTTTCTTCTCCCAGAGTAAAAACTCTAGCTCCCAAATGTAATGAATTTATTCATTTGCTCAATCCTACAAAACACACAAAATAGTTTCAGAATTGCTATACGTCTACCATACAAAAAACAGCCTCGTACGCGGAGTTCAAGATGTCTCTCAGTTCTTTTTGTCTTTAGATTAAGGGCATATAGTTAAAGTCCTATGTTCAAAACTTACTTGGATTCTTTTTTTTTTTTTTTTCCTTCTGAGAGTTCAGGCTATTCATTGAAATAGAGTTGACTCATTTTTTTACTGTTTGTATTCAATTTTAAAGTCCACTCCCCTATCTTGTTAATTTTATTTTTGAACATGTGAAAGATAAATAAATTTCCAAAATTCAAAACCACACAAGAAGGTATGTCATTCTTTTTAAATTTCAGTTTATTCAGTTTCTACTCACCCTGATATAGGAAACTAACTGGTTTCTGGCTACCTTTCCTGTATCAATTTATTTTAAAAAACAATTTTTGATGACACAGGGGATTGAAACCACTGAGTTACATCCCTGGCTCATTTTCTAAAATTTTCTAAATTTTAAAAAAATGTAGTTGTAGATAGACACAATACCTTTATTTTATTTTATTTACTTTTATGCCGTGCTGAGGATCAAACCCAGTGCCTCACACATTCTAGGCAAGCACTCTATCCTTGACCCACAACCCCAGCCCCCYGTTTTTTAAAATTTGAGGTAGAGTCTCRCTCAATTCTTCCTTCTGGCCTCAAACTTGTGATCCTGCTTCTCTAAATTGCCCCAGCTAGCCTCAATGTTGCACTCTTTCTGCATTGGCCTCCCAAATCACTGGGATTATAGGCGTGGGCCACCATGCCCAGCTATCCTGTATTGACTTTTGTTCTGTCAAAGAATTAGGCTTCTGCAAGGTGAAGCAGAGAAATGAGGTAATCACTGAAGTAGAATACTTACTGTTTTTTTTTTTAATTCACTATAAGATGGGAGACATGAGTATGTTTACATAGAACATAAATGATTCCACAGAAACTGAAAATTTGAAAATGAGGAGGAATAATCGCAAGGGTAAATATCTATCAAAATACCTCTTGGTTTAATCTGAAGGATATCAAAGGGTTCCCATATTCCAAAATAGGTATCACCCTGTTTGTAACCTGACAAATTAGTTATATCTCTGTGACAAGAGAATTCACATTAAAATGGGGTCATTATTTTGAAAGGATAAGTAAGTCATAATTACCTATTAATGTCAGTAAGATACATTCCAACAAGAGGGAGGTTCTGAACTTTAAACAAGATATTTAACAAGAGTAGAGTGACAGAATGGCTGATCTATAGAGTAACATGGATGAATAGTACAAATCATGCTGGAAAGACCAACTCGCATCTCTGGTATGTCTTGGAAATGTTATGCATATGCTAATGAGTAATTGTGGATCATTCCTCTTGCCTTGGCACTAAGTTAATGTGGCACAGAGGAAAAAACATGAACTTCAGATCCTGCCTTGAACCCCAGTTGAGTTAAACAGTGACCACTGGAAAGCTCCTTAACATCTTGCAGACAGTTTCCTTGCCTGTATTAGTAGATAATGTCTCCTTTTCCAAGTTATTGAAATATAAATAAAGCAAAGCACTGTCACTGGCCCAAGATAGATGATTAGTAAGAAATTTCTATAATAAATGCAGATTAAACTATTCAGCAAGGTAAATAAACTATAACAGCCATCTGACTTCTATAACATGCCTGAAAGAAATTAGAAGTCACACCGCCTCAGGCAGTATTTGATACAGGAAGAAAAATGTCCAACACTTAGTTCCAATTTTTAATTTTTAAATTTTCCCAGAGTCTGTTTTTAAAGTGTAAAAATATGTGTTGATGTACTTAAGCATCAATTATTTTTTAAAAAAAATTTACAGGTTAACAAAGTCCAATAACTCAGAATAACTTCCTATACTGTGTGTGTGTGTGTGTGTGTGTGTTTACAAAAAGATAACCTGAATGTATTACAACCATACTTGTAAGGTTTGTAAACTTAAAATGTGTATTCAAAGGTTGACGATCTTTATAAAACATTTTAGAGGCTTATATTTGTTTCAAGTTCATCTACAAACCAAAATGCAACATGAAAAATATTGAATGATCGTTAACCAAATATTGAAATATGCAATAAGCTTTCGGAGCCTAGTAGCACTGATAAACCAAAACTCCACGCTAATGACTATTAAAATGTGCAGACTTAACACGTACAATTTTAAATGTATATAGTTTACCACTAGAAATTACTTCCCTTTTATCTTGTGTAAGCAGTGAAGATGTACTTAAAGGTCACAATCTTAGTTTGCAACAATGAGATGTCAGAGAGTCAACAATTAAATTCCAGTGTCTTAAGAAAACTTCCTGGTAGGGTGCTAATCCATACTCCTGGCTATTCTGTTAGTGGCTGAAGAGAAAGATACTCATCCTTTACTGAAAGAGAAAGAGAAAGAGTGGGAGAAAAGGGTAGAGGGATAGATGCAAAATAAACAAACCATGCTTCTATAAACAATAAAAGCCTGGGTTTAACTTCTGGAAATCCAATCTTCCCTTATAAAATAGCAATAAATGTCAAAATCTAAGGCAATCCTTTGTGCTTTGAAGAAGAAAAAAATGTGGAGAGAAAAGGAAAAACACTTTCTCATTGTACAGAACTTGAGAATATTCAAAATCCATTAGTCTGCCCCCCCCCCAAAAAAAATAACACTGGACTTTATATCATTTTAAAAATAAATTTGACACGAAACTACAGGATTGATTTTGGCTCTTAGTAGAGAACTTTTGTGAGCTTTTCCACTGCTCTCCAGCCAATAACACTCCTGGGCAGCCCGGGATAACTGCTGTCTTCGAGGCAAACAGGGGGTTGCTAAGTCCCTAGGAAGAGGCCTCAAGACGTAGAGAGGAACCTGGGGGTGTCTCCCTGAGCAAGCTGTCGAAGCAGCCCCCAAAGTGCCCAAGACAGTGGCGGAGTGGCCATTCCCTGCGCGGTAGCGGAGCGCACTCAGGGCGCGCTCGCCCCGTCCCTCTTTCGCTGTGTCGGCCACCGGAGGGCCCCGTCTGGGAGTCAGGAGGAACCCAGCCCAGCCCCGCGCCGCGCCGCCACCCGGGCCGGTTCCGTGACGGCGGTTCCGTGACGGCGGTTCCGTGAACGGCGCTCCCGCGGCGCCTCACATCCCCTGCGGAAAGTCCGGAGTCCCCTAGCGGGGCGCACCGACGAGTAGCAGCTGGCGCTCTCGACACCTACCTGGAGGGAGCTTCGGCCCACGTCGCCCCGGCGCTGGCCGAGTCCTTTCTGCGCTCTGCTGGCCCTCGAGCGCGGAGCCGGCGTGCAGAGCACAGCGCACCGCCAAGCCCGGAGCCACCGACCACACCCAGCCACTCCGCCCAGCAGCCAACTCCGCGGCGCGGCCCGGGGCGGGGACGTGGCGCGAGGCTCGAGGCACGAGGCGCGCTGGGGGCGGGCGGAGGCGCGCCACGGGCGCGCGCGGATCCTGGAGCGCGCGGGACCCGAGCAGGGGTCGCAGGGAGCTGGCGCCGCCCGCAGCTTCTGCTTCCTATTTTCTTTCTCGTTTCCTGCTAGAAGGAGAAGAAAAACAGTAATTCCAGGGCAGTTTCGTTTTCTTGGTGCGGCGCCTGGATGCCGGAGCACTCAGCAGAGTAGAGCCCGTCTAAGTACTGTGGTCACTTTCYTTCCTGACACTACGGGCGACGGTTTGCTCGCGGATTGAGCGAGGCGACCCCCAGGTCCTGTTTAGGTTTAACATTCTGGAATTCTAAATTGTGGGAAAGTGAAGCCCGGCGTCATACCCAATTGCTTTGCAGTCCCAGTCCTCCCATCACTAGTTGTGTGACAGCCTATCTCCTCTCGGAGTCATAAGTTTTGTCACTGGCAAAATAAGGACAGTGATACCTGCCTCATAAAGGTGCTGAGAAATATTACCTGACACATTTGCACGCAACGTGCCTCTAAATAAACGATCAATTCTTGGAAGTTATTGTTACTATTGTCACTGACAAAACCGGAAGGCCTTCCATTTAACCCTGCCAAGCCCCTCTTCTCTGTGTGAGTTAAACACCACACGCATCTCAATCGACTTTTTTTTTTTTTCGCATTTCTCTGGGTGTTTTATGTTGAAAATGTCATAAAATAAATGCATCTATCCAAATTGCTTCCTCTGAAGTCAGTACCGCCTGGGAGCATTTTTCCTTTCCCCACCCCCATCTTTCTTTTGAGTTAATTCCAGTTTGACAGACTGTTGCTATAGCATTCCTTCTCTGACGTCAAACAATTTAAAGGAACAGCCCTGGGTAACTGAAAACTGCAGAGGAGTTCTTTGTGGAGTTTCTGWGCTGAAGAAAGGTTTGAACAGTATCATAAGAGAACTTTTACACCCCCGCAGCCTTCCATTCTCTCATCTTCAGCTGCTTCCCACTATCACCTGGAATAAATCTACCGGTACCTTAAAAGAGATTGTGCCAAGATAAACACACCCTGATTGCAGCTGTGGTGAAAATGTGATCTTTTTGTATAAAAGCCAGACCATGATAAAAAAAAAAATGGAAATAGTCGTGTACTAGGATGATGGAATTATGGATGTTTTTTCCCCTCAAGTTTTCATTTTTCATAATGGTGGGTGCATTTTTTTCCATTAAGAAGAAAAGGGATAAATACCAAATCTTCTACTTATCAGTGTCAGAAAAGTTGGTTGGGACCTGACCAGTCTGCAGCTGCAGCTGTTTGTGTGCTTTAGTGATTAAGTCCTGAGCTTTATCATTGTTTTTAGGAAGAAGTGAAGGAGTTAAAGGTTGTCTACTATGTACGAGACTCTCTGCTTTCTTATTATCCTACTTAATTCTTATAATGACCTATATGCATTTTATCCCTATTTTACAGATGAGCAAAATGAAGCTTGGTGAGATTAGGTAATTCACTTGAGGTCACACAGGGAGTAGCATCTAAATGGACCAATTCCAAAGCCTATTTTCGTTCTTTTGATTCTTTTCTATCTTGTTCCAGTGCTTTGGCATCTACCATATACTATAGAACTTTTAGAAATGGTTGGTTTAAGATTATATGTTGAAATGCAAGTTGCTAGTTGAAAGCACTGAGGTATGGTACTGTAGAAAATATCAGGGAAAGTATAAACCAACAACTCCCAAACACAACATGCAAAACCTGAAAAGATATAAAAAGCATGTCTCTAATCCTTGAAGATTTGTGAATAAATGATGATGTTCACCTTTCTAAAAAATCTGATGTGGACACAGAAATTTCCAGAAGAATAAAGTTCAAGTACGAAAAAGGAGAATTTAATTGTGAAGTGAACTAATCCATCTCTAAGAACATTATATTTCTGTTTTGCCACATTCACTGCATATTTTTCTGAAAAGAACACTTGTTAAGAATGGCTCAGTGGTAGCACACTTGCCTGGCATGTGTGAGGCACTGGGTTTGATTCTCAGCACTGCGTATAAATAAATAAAGGTCTATCAACAACTAAAAACAAAAAATAAAAAAGAATAAGCCTATACTGTGAATCTGAAAGTGGATCTGGTTAAAGAATTTCATAACCAGGAACATTTCCTAAGAGCACAGTAATGTATCTAAGCGACCCAGCAATTCATAATTTTTTCAATGATAGTGAGATCTATGTATAAAGAAAGAGAAAGAAGCATAATATTAATATTTTTATTAATATTTTTGATGCCCGATGCCTACATAGACCATTGTAATGACATCATACTTCTAAGGATTAAGTCCATTGATCTTCTGTTTGTATATCACTGGGATATCTGTACTGGCCTCTGGCCATATCTAACTCACTAGGCTCATGTTCTCAAATCCTACTTTGTTAACACAATGATGGAATTCCTGTTAGAGAACCTTTGAATACAAAAGCCCTGTTTCATCCTTGTATTCCCCATAGTGTCTAACAAAATAGCTTGCATTTACCAGGTATTTAGTGAACAAACAAATGACTGATGACACTTGGTTACTTGTTTTACTCAAATAAATGTCATATTTAATCCCACCCCTTACCTTTCAAAATCATGGCAGGAAGAAAGTGATCATTGTTTTTGGAGGAGTTTTATAACAGTTACATACTCAGGATGTTTGGATCCTCTATGATCAAGTTCAAAGAAGCTCCACTCTTGGTTCTAATGGGATGAGCATGAATCCAGTTCTCAGATACGCTATAATCTACAGTGCCCATATTCAACCTTTAGATCATACCTTAGAAATGGTCTACTTTTTTTTCTGATTTTACCTTATTTTTAGACAATGACAATGCACTATAAAGAAGAAGAATCTTGGCTAGGCATGGTGGTTGGTGCCTCTTATCCTAGCGGTTCAGGAGGCTGAGGCAGAAGGATCACAAGTTCAAAGCCAGCTTCAGCAACTTAGTGAGGCCCTAAGCAACTTAGGGAGACYCTGTCTCAAAATAAAATGTAAAAAGGGCTGGGATGTATCTCAGTGGTTAAGCACCCCTGGGTTCCATTCTTGGTACAAAAAAAAAAAAGGCACTTCAAAGTGGACACTTTTTTCAGTCCTGCTGTGTTGTATGCATTCCAATTCCACCATATACCATACCGAGGCCAAATTTTATACTTGCAACATTTTAACTAAAATAACAGGTTTTCTTTCAACTACAACAAAATAAATTTTAAAATATTAATAAAACCCTAATAAGATCTATAAGCATGGCCTGGGGCTGTAGCTCAGTGGAAGAGCACTTGCTTCACATGTGTGAGGCACTGGGTTCGATCCTTAGCACCACATAAAAATAAATGAATAAAATAAAGGTTCTATGTCCATCTACAAYTGAAAATTTAAAAAAATAAATAAAAAGGTCRACAAGCAGAGTTCCCAAAGATGTGAGAAGCAATGCCTTAGTAGATTCTGTCAGAAGTAAGTTTATGTCATTCAGACTCATATCCTTGATACGGACCAGTCATGTCTGAAGCCTACTTTCCTGCTCACACACATTGCATTTCTGTACCAAACTTTTTACAGCCTATATTTCAAGCCCACCTTGTTGTACTCCTCAGATACTTATGATTTAAATTAGTGGTAATTCTTGTATTTTTTTTTTCACTCAGGTTCTCAGCCATGGCAATTTGGAATCTATCACCCATATACATCACAGTGACCTTAGGAGAGTGCTATACTTAGCTAATGATGTCTGTTACAAGCATGGGAGAAGAAAATAGAAGAATATATCTGCAGCTCTATGTTCTCTATTTTAGGTCCCCAGAATCTGTTATTGGGAAGGAACATGGCAAAGTGGAGGAAATACTAAACTTCAAGTCAAAGATTCGATTTAAAGCTTTGGCTCCACTATTCAATATCTGTGTGATCTTGAGAAGATCACAAACTGCCTGCATTCTGTTTTTATCCAATTATATCAAGTGAGGGTATCAAATGCCAACACAACAGTACTGGTGCCATTGTTCAATACTATGCCCAAAAGTTAACTTCACTAATCAATCATGTACTCTTTCCCTCTAAGCCTCATCCTATCCCAAACATTCTTCTGAACACCTTTTAGGAAGTTCCAGTGATTCATTTGTATTGATAAGTGAGTAAAAACATCATATTAGTTCTATTTTGTTCTGAATAAGCTACTCAAAATTTAGTGAATTAGGCCTCAAACATACTGGGTTCAACAGCCATCACTTGTTTTGCTCATAAATATCTGTGTGAGTTTGACAGCTTGGTTCTTCTCCGCTCCATGTAGTGCCGACTAGATTGGCTATATTCAAGATGGCACTCTCACATGGCTGGCAAGGTGGGGCACCCTATTGGCTAGAAGATAACCCAGGTATGTGGGCAGAGATCTCAGCTCCTTTTCACATAGGTCTTTCCATGGGTTATTTTAAGTTCCTCACAATACAGKGGCTGGATTCTAAGAGCAAATGTTCCAAGAGAACAAGGAGGAAGTGCATAGCATTTTTATGACTTGGCCTTAATAATCACACAGAAATTGYTTTCCATATTCTCTTGGGCTAGGTAGTCACAGATACAAGTGATAGGGACATATTCTTCATGAAAGAGTTTCAGATTCCTAGAAAAGCAAGAAGGCTGGCACATATTGTTGTGGCCATCTTCAGAAATACAAGCTGCTGTAATCACATTCACCAACTCTTGATTAATCTATGAGAATCTAAGATTCTATCATTTCTTTCCTTCCTCCCACTTTGACTTTATTTATGCTAATATGTTCTGTCAGTTAGATATTTCAAACAATGGAAGATATCTTGCTTTCCTTGATAATTTGATTTTTTGAGTGCTTTCTTAATTTTTGTTTTTAAATTATACTGTAAAATTGATTTGTCTTTTTTTGGTGTACAGTTCTATGATTTTAAACATATCTACAGATTCGTGTACTACCACTATAATCAGGATAAGGGCAGTTTCACGGCCCCCCAACCCCACCAAAATCCCTTTACATAACCCCTAGAAATCTTC